TGATGTAATAAAAATACTTAACTATAACAACAAAACATAGTGATTGTACATTAATTCCTGAATTATTTTTATCTTATTAAATTTTTTATTGATGTTTTTGCCTACAAACTATATGATATTTTTAAAGAAAAAAATTATTTGTACATCATTCTATTATCCATCTAAAGTTCTATTTAATATATATATATATATATATATATATATATATATATATATATATATATATATATATATATATATATATATTTCTATACATGTTAATGTGTAAAAAACTTACGAATTGTTTAGAAATATTTGAACTAAGAATGATCATACATATTTCCATTGAGGAAAGAAAAAAAAATATGTATGTTTTTTGGTTAAGTATTTACAAAATAAATTCTCTTCTTTTATTATAATAATAAATTTAATGTTGTATCATCAATTCAACTAAAAAATCATGAATATTATAATAACTAAATAATTATTTTATTCTTATAAAATGATTAATATATTTCTATAACAAAAGTTTTAGAATCATTTGTTATTAGATAAACAAAATAAAATAAAATAAAAAATCTCTATTTCTAATGAATTATTTTTTTATTTAAAAATGCCACAATATTTTTTATTTTAAATATGAAAAAATTATTTAAGATTCATATAATGAGTTAATACTGCGTATAAAGTTATACTGCAGTATGTAGAACAGATTGGGACACTCAGTTGTTTGCAGCTTTATGGACATACCGTACTGCATATAAAGTTACTACCAATGCTACCCCTTTCTAATTGGTTTATGGCCAGGAAGCAATATTACCTATTGAGTTGGAAGTCCAAAGTTTATGAATTGCTATAGATACTAGATTGGGAGATCATAATTCATTACGACACCATTTAGAAGAATTGGAAAAATTGGATGAAACTAGAGCCAGTGCATTAATGATGATGGAAACTACCCAAAAATGAAAGAAGACTTATTATGATAGTAAGCTGAGATGAAAGGCTTTTATGCCAAATGATTTGGTATGTCTTTATGATAGTCAATTTAAAAAATTTCCAAGAAAATTTCAAGTTTGATGGCATGGGCCATATCGAATTATTGAAGGATTTCCAAATGGTTTAGTACAATTGGAAGATTTTATGGGTACTAAATTTACGACATGGATCAATGGTAATCAGCTTAAACTTTACTATATATGAACCCGAGATGGATTTTCTATTATAAAAGAGAGAGTCGACCCAATTGATTGGACCATAGTAAGAAGTAGGAGGGGGCTCTTGACAAGCATCATGTTTTCTTTTGTGGTTAAGGAGAAGATGGCGAACATGGTATGTGAGAAAGTAAGGATGGAGATCGATTAGAAGGAACGGCAAGAATGACTACAGATAGAGGTTGCGATGTTGCGGACTAAACTAGCCATATTAGCAAAAGAAGCCAATAATTTTGTACAGACCAATACGCCAGTTTCAGCGATAACATCTTCGGAGATACCTTTGAAATCGACAAAAGAATTGCAGAAGATGTTGGAGGAGCCTGACAACCAAATTGCCCGACTTGAGTTTCAGGGATGGGAATTGGGTTTGTTGAATGAAGATCTGACAGCACGTTTGGATGGAGAACCATTGAACACTGAGGTAAACGATGAAGATATAAAGAGGAGAAGGTTACCAATTCAAAGGGTGGTAAGCCAATGCCATTGACTGAAGAAGCCAACACTGCTACGTTTTTATAAGTTGAAGCTAAATAATGTTTGTGAAGATGCTGCACAATTAGGAGTGGGGCTATGTAGAATAAGTAAATAAACTTTGTGGTAAGTTACTGGTTGATTATTGATAACCTTGAGAATTAGACTGATGGTTAGGCAATTTAGTTGGTAACAATAGGTTGTTAGTAGAATAAATGGTTAAGAATTCAAAGGGTCATAATCTTTGGAATCCGCTGGCCGACAGATCATCTTTTTGTTAGGATAAATAGGTTGAGGAAAGAGAGATTGAAGGCCAAACTGTGAGAGTCATAAGCCGGGGTAAGCTTGGTGCTATCTCTTTGTTTTTTTTATTATTTGCTTATGAAGAATTGTGTTTGAGAGAAGTATTGTTGAATTTATAATCATAGAATGGATTATGGGTTGAATTAAGATGAAAGTAGTAAGCCTTGGTGTTTTGTAGTTTGATACTTGATTTCAGATAGCCAAAATATAGTCAATTGTGTCGCTAACAGATCCAATTCATATAACCAGTCTTTCTCTGTGTTCGAGTCCACCTCTATTAATTCAATTGCTTTGGTATACTGAAGCTTGAACACAACGAGAACAACTTAGTATAAAAGAGTAAATCGGAACATCTAAGATAAATTTAGCATAAAAATTAGCTGATGAAAATCTTAATTTACTTTTCTTTTTATCCACATTGCAAATAGCTATTCTATGTATTCTTAAAACAAGTGTCTATTTTAGAAAATAAGTAACAATTTTCTTAGAAATATTAGTCTTAATACATTCGAATGCCTAAAATAATCTTCATAAACTGAAGTCCCATGTATAATCATTAAATACACTCTAAATCTCTTTTTATTAGAAGTAGACAAAGACACCTTCATGAAAGAATTTGTTGTTTGCTAAATTATATCAAGCAACTCTCAATCATATCAAATTTGGTTTTTGAACTATTGTAGGTTTTATAACTAACATTTTATCTTATTTCTTTAAATAAAATATTCAATCTCATTATTATATCTAATTTTATTTCTTTAAATAGAATATTTAATCTCATTATTATATCTAATTTTATTTCTTATATTTATATTATTCTTAATTGGTACTTAGAAAATATAATTTTTAATTCAAAAACTATAACTTTTTATCTTATAATATGTTATTATATGAATATCTATTTTAAGAAAATAATTTTATTTTATTTTAAAATATTATAATATAATTCTATTTATTTAGTTGTATTCTAGAGTTGTATTCCAAGCTATTGATTTAATTTAATAATCAATACATCAAATAAGTTTTTTGGTTTTTTTTTATAAAAATGATTTTTTTATAAAATTATCTTTTTTAAAGTCTTATCTTAGCTCTATTGATGTTACAATCTAAAAAGAAATCTTGTTATTATTATACAAGCCTCTTACAAAAATTATGTTTGATTATTTTTTAAAACATAATTGTAAATATTTATATGTACACAAAATAGACATATATTTAAAATTATAATTCAGAATACTTTAGATTGTTTTCATAATTAGTATTAAAAATATAAAATATATGATATGATTATTTCTTAAAAAAATTAACATTGTTATTTTTATTTTAAATCAATATCTAAGTAAACATAGAATACATCAACCCCAGCTCATATCATTAAAGTTTATTACTTTTAAAAATTTAAAATAATAATAAAAATAATTACTAAAGAGTTTAAACCAATATTTTCTATTCTTCTTCTTCTTCTTCTTATTCTTGAATTGTTAAATAAATAAATTTTTAGTAATAATAATTTCTTATTGATACAACCTTAAATTTATAGTTAATATTATTATTTTAAATAAATTAATTGAATATCAATTAATATCAATAAAAAATATGAAGTGTATAGTTTAAATTTTTCTTAAAAAGTTATATTTGGTAGTATTGTAAAGCTAGCATTAGGATCCCTTCTTTGGATAAAAAGAAATCAAAATACATATAAAGAATTTTTATTTTTATTTCAAAAAAGTTATATTTCAAGCATTTTAAACAATATTTCATAATTAAAACTAAAAAATTTAAGTTTTTATTTTTGTATTAAGGCATCATCATTAAAATCTAAAAATAAAAAAGACTAAACAAACAACTCAAGTAGGTTTTGAAACAATGTTTTACAATAGCACAGCATAGTTGAATCAATCAAGGATTGCTTGCTAATCATTGTAAATTATTTTTAATACCAAGAAAAATCTTTCTAATATTTTAGAAGAAATAAAAAAAAAATCTAACTACTAATGGTAACTACATTATAACTTTTTAAAATTATTCAGTAAAAAAGTTGAAACTTTATATTTTATATGCTGCCATGTCTGTGGTGAAAATCTCATCTCAACATAATTATTTTTTGAAAATAATCAACATAAATGTGCATGTATTTGGAACATTTTACACAATACCCCTATCAAAATCTCAAGAACAAAAGACAAATGACAAACACCGCATTGTTGTTCACCCTCTATAAAATGTCAATATGCCCAAATATTTTATTTATTTATTTAATTATTATCAAAACGAGACAACTACGAGTACCCATAAAGCCACAATTCCCTTTCTGTTGGAATATTATTGTCGTCAATGGTTTACTCACACATACAACAACAACAACAACAACATCATCCACGTACCACACTAAATACAATCGACACAATGCACAATTAAACATTCACCCCATCAACTCAAGAATGAAGATGATTGCTGGCTCTACGTTTACTATTCAAAGCTTCAAAGCCAGCACCAGATTCTCTCTCGCTCTGGGCCCAGCCTAACCCAGCCCTGCCTCCATGGGGCCCACATTGGAAAGGGGGTTGTGAGAATTTGAAAATCCAGGAGAGATGGGATTCAAGTTGTTGGTTGCACTAGGAAAAGTCCACCGCCAAGGGGTCCAAGAACCAAAGGGAACGGGCCAATAATGGCAACCCACCAAGCAAGCGGCTGAGCTGACGATGAGAAGGAGGAGAGCATGGGAAAATGCAACAAAAAGTCCCCCCCACTCCCCTCCCCAAGGAGGAAATCCCGACCATTCGAACACCCCACGGGGGTTGCGCCAACCGTTTGATGGGTTCACCGCAGGACGCGAAACTGAAGCAACGGTACTCAGGGGACGGAAGGAGCGAAGCCACCCGGGTGATACTACTACTTCTCCGCGCTTTCTGTCCCCTATGACCGCGTGATGGAGACAGGGGCCATGCAAGCACCCCCGGTATCCGTGCACCCACCCTAAGCCCATGCTTGCACCCGTGATCGATCACACCCGCCACCGTCCCCGGCTTCGCAAATTCAACTTCCTCGCCGCATTTGCTCTCGCTGGGTCCGTGCCTGGGTTTTACGCATGTCTAGTGCTACTACTACTACTACCACGACGACTGCTTCTGTTTTGCGGGGATGGCTGCTGCGGGTTCAGTGTAGACAGGGGTTGTGGGGGAGAGAGGTGGTGGTGGATTAGGGTTTGAAAAAGGTGGAGCCGGGGTTGGGGAAGAAGGGGGAAGAAGGAAAGGAAAGGGAGTAAAGGCGGGAGAGGAGGGGAGGAGAAGGTGGTGGTGATGGTGATGATGACGACGGTGATGATGATGGCGGAGAATGGCGCGGGAGCGGGGTCAGTGATGGATGACTTGATGATGACGACGGCCTCCGAGTAAGAAGCTCTGGCTCTCTCGGAGGCGTTGGAGTGTGAGTGAGTCTGCGATGTTTGGAATGGGAGGGGTTGTTGTTGACGATGGCGGAGCCTGCAGCAGTGGAGGAGACGGGTGCGTGCGCGAGGGCGTCGCAGAGGATCAGCAGGCGCGTGGTGCAGCGCAGAATGTGAATTTTCTCGACTTGTTTTCCGTGGTTTCGGTGGTTTTTTGGGGCTTGCAGTGTAGCGATGATGGGGTTGGGAGTGCTGTGTTGAGGTCAGGAAGGTGGAAATGGCGGGATGTGAGGGGAGGGTTGGATTTTGCGACATTTTTGTCGAATTAGGAAGGGTTTTGTTGAATGTGTGATGTGGTCAAACGTTGGACAATCGTGGTACTATGAGGTTGGTATACGTAGGTTTGGTTGGATGTGCGTGGGTGATGAAGGGCAGTGGTTGCAAAGTGCATTGTCTTTGCACTCGACTTAACGGAGCCGAGTGTCTTTTTGTTTCTGATGCTGGAGTCTGTATATTGAGTTGGACTCTACGGACCAAAGTCGTTGACTGAGTGTATGTTGAAATGTAGTGTCTAGGACAAGTGACGGTGATTTCCTTCCGGTTGATAGTGATGAGTATAAATTTTGCATCTTTTAGCGTGGGATTTTCCTAACTATTTCCCTCCAACGTCTTCGCGGAGATGATTTGTAATCTGCTCCTTGTTTCTGAAGTGTGGACTCCGGCCACTCGTAATTCTTAGGTGAACATCGTCATGTGTTCATGCATGGAGTGGTTCTCTCTTTTTCGTCTGTTGCGTCCTGAAGTACCGGCACTTCAGTCAACGCTGGGTGTGGACTCATGTTCTATTGCAAGGACATTTTTGTATTGCCCCAGCAGCATTCCTTAACTGGAGCAGGGTTACTGTGAAATACCTTTTTCTCTGCCTTAGATTCTGTGAAGATAGTGTGAAATGCATACCAGTATGCTTATCTACGTGTTCCGCTTTACCAAAGTTGTAGCCTTATCGATCTCGACTGCCTTCCTGGCGTTCGCGTAGCGAGTCAGACGCGAACTTGCAGAGTAGTCAGTGTAGGTGGCTCGAGTCTTTCCACATTATGGTGCGAGACATTGCTACTTTCCCTGCGATAACGATGAAATGTTCGTTTGGATCCGAGGCGGCCTATGTAATTTTCTGTTTCGGCTGGGCAGAATTTGCATGTTGACGACAGATACATGGAGAATGTGTTGGTCTCACTTCATGTGGAAAACAGTTCCCTAGGAGAGTATCGATTATGGTCTGTATTGTACTTGGGTGTACTTTAGGGTGATGGAACATATGTCGTTTCCATCCCGTCGGGTTTTTCGTTATTGTGAACATTTTATGTAAATTGATAGTATGAACTTACTTGCCGTTGTACCGAATTGCACTATGTTGAAGCCTTTGAATGTATCCAGATGATAGCGTCACATGCTCATGATTGTGCCCTGGATTGGAAATGTGCTTAATCATAGCGCCCATCAATATGTCGGAACTCAGGGTATGTTATCGTGCAGTTTGGAGTGAAATTGAAAGCACTGTTTGAATTCTGCGATAAACTCGCATGCTCAACAAAGTCGTTTTTTCTGCGTGAAGTAGTCTGTTAATTTCCGCTCATGAAACCCCCGGATGTCATATCCTGTTAGGTATCCCAGCGTGCTCAAATCCTTATTACCTCTAATTTCATTTTGAGGAGTCATTTATGTATTATATTCGTCTTGGTGATATGTGACCTGTCGTTTGGGTCTCGCCTCATTACTAAATGTCTCGATCGTATCCAAGTTTGGTGTTCTCGCAGTGCAAAGAGTGAAGGGGTTTGTGGATTAGCTATTGAGCTCGTGAACGTCTACCCTCTTCTTGCTTCACATGCCTTCTGTTAAAGTAGAACCTTGCCTCCCACCTGGTATTATAATATTCTTTAGAACCTCTTTGTAGGTGATTTCATCTAAATCATTCTTTTGCACACGGAGGTGACATCCTCGTAATAAATACATACCTCACTAAGCATCTGGCTAGTACTGGCGAGTTTTGATACCCTAATGTATGTGTGTACAAGTTTAGAACTGATTTGTTGATTTAAGGTTTGAAGTTTCGTCACATCCTCAGCCTACTTATCTTTATCTTTTTGGAAGTTCATCACCTTGCTCCGGTCTGTTCTCACAACAATTCTGGTTCTTTTGATCAGGCTTCTTGTCTAAGCGAAGAGAAGCGTGTAAAATCTGAATTGTCTTCTCCGGGTCCTGCAACTCCAATGCAAGCAGCTCCTCTGCCACAACAGAAACCTAGAGAATCAAACAAAACTTGTCCCATCATCTCCAACACTGGAGCAACGCATGCATCTCAACCGGCTAAGGCTGAGAGTGAGCCGAAGCTAGCTGCCAGACCTCTCAATTCTTCTACATCTACGCAGGTGTGCAATTCATAATTTTCAGGATATGGTTATGAAAACTCTTGCTACCATGATGTGTTTCTGAGATAAGAGGGTGTTTATCACCTAAGTGTTCGGAGTTGTGGAAAACATTTACTTTTCTAATATCTGCTTGTCGTCTGATGTGCAGGACGTGGTGCTGAGTTTGAACGAAAACCATATTTCATCGAACCCCTCCAATCCATGTTCCATTAGTGAACCACAAATCCTACAGAATTCACCCTTATCTGCTCTTCATCGTCGTGTTGGGCATCCATCTTTTCCCCGTGGCCCTGCCACTTCGAGAACTTCTACTAAACCTTCATCTAAAGATGAAAGTCAGCTTCACCTGGCATCAAAGGCCACTCAAGACGAAATTGGCCTTTCATGCTCTGTTATAACCGAGCGAGCATCTTCAGACCCATCCGCCACGCTAATTGATCATCTTAGCTCTAATTGCATGGCTGAAAGTTACAAGTATTCTTTGGATTCAAGCCTTTCTCTTGGTTCCAAGCCACTTCTAATGCTTGGTTCGAGAGAGAGAACGTTAGAGGATGTGGGTCGCGCATGGGAGGTTGGAGTTGGAAGTGCTCGTCAGAGTAAGCTCACTTGCTCTGTGATTAATCCAAACGAGGCGACAGTCACATTACAATTTCCACAAGGAAAGACTTTCCGCACGCAAGGCGAAACATTTGCGGTTGACAGAAGTCGTGACTGGAAAGGGAAACACTTACAAGAATCCTTTGGTTTCTATCAAGACGGTATACCCCATGATGGGAAAATGGATGGAAATGTGGAACAAGTCCAGGGACACAGTACTGCCCTTAGTATGGAGCATGGTGCGAATCCTTCTTCAAATTCTTCTCATGGCCGATTCAAGAAGCGTGTGAAAAGAGAAGTAGTTGATACGGGGTTGGCATCTCTCAATGCCAGGGAGCAGGCGTGGGGAATTGAAGATGAGCAAGGTTCTTTTTCTCTTTGCTGTTTCGCAGGAGGAAGATATGGATTGTTTTTGGGATGTTGGGTCTAAATTCACTGGCTACTGAGGTCGCAGTCGTCAACGTGTTACCTTATTGATTGCCATTCTATCTGCTTCGGACGAAATCTCATTAAAGGAATGATGACTTTTTGCAGATTGTAGAAGAAGTGTCATGTTTGAGAACAATCATGTGAACTCGAGGCAAAATTGGAACGAACCAACATGTTCACACCCACCGAGCTCAAGCGAGAAAGCGTTTGAAAAGGGTTTTGCGAAAGTTTCGAACGGGCCTATCGCTGAACAGAAGACTGTGGTTGTGAAAAAGACACCAAAGAGAGTACACAATAGTGACCCCAGTGCAATGTTTACGGGATCGGAAGTTCTCATTTTGGATGACTGTCTAAGAAGTCCCCGATCGATTCCACATCACATATTGATGCCAGTGAACAAGCCAGGTAGGTTGGATCAATTTTTCATTTTCTTAGAAGCTTGCAAGAGCCTGTTTATGGGTAGAAGTAATGCACACAATTTGCACATTTTTTCTGTATCTGAACGGACATCATATTTGTGCACATGCGCATCAGGTTTGAATGGGGTTGTGTACGCAGCTGATTTGGCTAATTCGATGAGTCGGCAAAGGGCCAGGAAATCTCAAAATTTGGTTTGTTCTCGAGAACCTGCTCTAGATTATTGTCAAGGTATTCAGAATGGGTGGAACATCCAACAATCCCAACTTGAATCGAGACTAGATACAGTCTCTGCCAGCTCTCTGACGTCAACATCAAAGCACTCCCTTTCAACGGGCGAGCCGTCTCTGCCTCTAACTCTGAACTTTTCACCAAAGCCGCACCGCCCAGTCGTCCCTGCGTCCAGGACTTCAACAGGTACGCCAATGCAGTAGGCTCTTCAATTTCCAGTCCAGCTGGTTGTAACCTCTTAACCTACTCAAGTGGCATCTAATGCAAAGCTTTGCTTTGACGTTCATATATCGCCCTCGGTGTTTTGAGTTCAAAGTGAAACTTATGTCTGTTTTGTCTTTTGCTAGGGATACCCTCTACAGAAGAGGAATGGGGCAAGTCATTAGCCCTCTGTGGTCCAGGTGCTGAATCACCCGATGAGGTTGAATGTAGTGTTGTAGAACCAAAACCAATGAGTGCTAAAGATCGATTTGTACAGTTGCAATTGTTTCTGAAGAAGTGTGATGATGATGACCAGAGCTACTTACTTGATGGTGAGTGCCAGTACATGGTTAAAACGTTGAATTTTCTAGGCTTTGTAGTGTGAATATTGTAGACGCCATTATGTCTTTCATCTAATGCACAGAGTTCTGCCTTATTCTCGTTAGTAAATATATCTTACTAGCATCATATAATGTCATTAATCCTTCTTTTCCCTCTCCACCGTGTGCGTCATTGTTGTTGCCTTCGCAGCTTTACGTCAACTCTCAGCAGCTGCTCGGAGCTCATGTGCCGTAGAGTTAGAACAGAGAGCTCTGCGTCTCTCTATTGAAGAAGGTATTTCCTTTGCACCAGAATAATTTTCTTTGTCACATCTTCAAGCTGGTAGGGGAGCGCGACATGCTCTCTTCAGAATGACTCGGTCTGTAGTAGTGATTGCAATTTATTCTGTATTTGGATTTCGGTCTTTGATGTTCAGTTACTTTTTTCCCGTATTTCACAACTTGTTTGCTTATTCGTCTAGATGTGTTGCACTTAATAAGTAGGTCTCTTGTTCTACAAGAATCCATCCAACTTATGACATTCTACGTGGTGGCAGGAAAAGAGATGGCACGACTTAAATCACTCAATGTAATGGGACAAAAGACCAACACTAAAGCCCAAAATGAAATAGGCTGTACATCACAGGGCCCTCGTGTACCATCTTTCATCACTGCCGTAGACTACCCGTATCAGCAATTGTTGCCGAACATGAAATCTCCTGCTCAGGTGCAGGTGCCGATGTCAGGTTCTGGGGCTCCTTCAGCTTATACAGAAACCTGTTATTCTGCTTGAGATAATTTTGCTCAACTACATGGAGAGTGGACTACTCATCCAGCATTAATCTGGTATACCCTAATCCCAACATGTTATGTTAGTTTTTATGCCTTATCTAAGCATCGTTTTGCTAGTGATGCATTATTAACCTTCACCACGTGGTAGCATCACAATATACTTATGTGCTGGACGTGCCGTGCGGTCTGATTTACATATGGAGGATGAATTTGGTCCTCATCCATCATGTGAAAATCTCACTTTCAGCTTGTTTTGGGTGTGCAGGACCTCCCTAGTTTTATTAACTAGAGGCCTTCAAATCTTTGATAGGAAATACACATGGTCATACATCTGACATATATGAAGAAGGGTGATGAACTGTAAAAGCATATAGGTGCTGAGATTTTTCCCGCATTTGGTTGCCATGGCAAGAACCTGTACCTGGATTCTCTACGTTCATGGTCAACAACTTCGCTCACTCTTCCATTTAAATCTTTTCAATCACTGGACTACAATTGTCCTCTCAATCCTTGATCTCCTTTCACTCATTCATGTAGACGTTCACCGGTTTCCAGAAGGTTCCAATCCAAACCTCGGAGAATCACCTACTCACTGTACACGTTCACTACTGACATGTATCCTCACCCAGATAGATCTGCAGCATGCGGATATGAGATGTTATGTTACATGTCAACTTCCCGACCTCTCACTACCCTAAACCGCATTAGTTAGATTAAAAGCCCTTAATTTTGGCGTGAAACCACGAACTCTACTGTACTGTTCCGTAACAGCATTTAGAGTTCCAATCGACAAGGTATTCTGTCGCTCAGGATGCGGTTGTCTCCGACTTCACGAAATTGTTACGAAATGTAATGACCACACTGATGTTGTATTGAGCACGTTTTCTGGATTGAAGGTTGACTGGCAAGAGGGTTAGTTGGTAGAACGAAACTTCTCCGTACTACCTGATCGTTAGTTGTCAGAAAGGGAATCTATGACGAGTCCAATTTTTGGTTACTAATGTTCACATGTGCTTGTGATACGATGATCAGTTGGAATTTATTTGGAGAGGAACACTTCTGGGTAGAGGATACACTTGTTACTTGTTTTACTTTCAAGATTTGTTCAGTAATGTGTAACTTAATTCTAAGATATGGCGAAGTAATATACACATTAAGGACATTTTTAAATTTTAGTGCAAAAAGTCGTATTGAAAGATAATGCATGACAGAACCAGAACAGAGGACTTGAAAAACCTAAAATATCAGCATGCTTAAATAAGGTATTTTCAAATGCATATTGAAGATTTAGTATTAAATGCCAACTTGAAACTAAAATTTGTAAGGTCTGACAGCACAAAAACTAACTCTGAATCCCATAGTTGATTCAAAAATCATGTTTGGTAACAATATTTATATATTTTTTTGCACTCTTAGGTAACTAGAATTTAATTTATTATGTATTTTTTCATAAATATATACTAGTATATTATTATGAAAAATCAGTACTTAAAAACATAATAATTTTTTTTTTACTTAATAATTTTAATTACTATAATATAATAGTATAAACCTTTACAAGATAGATGTTGAGTTAGCATGGCTCGTATAAGATGTACTTCTAAAAGTATAATTTATTTTAAAAATCAAAATTACGCTGAATAATCAATCAAAAACAATTATTATTAATTATTTCCTGTAATTTAGCTTTAACTATTAATATTAAATTGTGTCATTAAATGATGGAAGATGAAAATAATTAATATTCAATTGTGTCATTAAATGAGGTAAAAGTTTTTAGCAAGGTGAAGTTGAGAATTACAAAATTGAATACTTCAACCAATTTTATTTTTTTATTTTTGTATGAATAAGATTAAGATGTATTAGAAAATGATGATGGTATATGACATAATAGTGATTTTTTTATATATTTTAAAATACCAAAAGACTAATAAGCTTTAAAAGAAACAAAACATCTATTTTTTAATGTACAATTCATTTTATTTATTATCATATTATTTAAATAATATTTTACTTCTATAATTAATATTCTCAAAGTAAATTGTAGATTTTTATATCAACAAATTCTATATTCATATATATACATAAAATAGTGTATTCTTTTATAAACTTTATGCTTGGAAAAATAACAAACTTACTTATGTAAATAAAATTAACAAAATTAACAAAAATAGTTTCCTACCATAAAATTTATAAAAAATAAATAATTTTAAAATTACCAAAAATATTTATTTTCATGTAGTTTGTTATTTTTATTTATTTACCCAAAATTCTTTCATAAAAGATTGGCTTAGGCAATGTCAAATCAGTATAGTTTAAGGATGTAAATCTAATATAAATTTATATAAAAATGAATTTGATAAAAATTCGATATCACATTTTTATAGGAAAAATATGGTTTTATATCACATAAGATCTCAGTCAAATTTATTAAAAAAACATGATTTTTTGAAAAATTAAAATATTTCAAATTTCAAATCTATACATTGTAAAAGAATATTAAAGTTTAAGTTAGATATGAATATAGAAATTATATCTAAATAAATAATCAACAAAAATATATCAATAATTTTTTATGATATAAACTTCAAGGTATGATTATATTTTAAATTTTTTCTTAGTAGTAACTAAATAGATTATTTAGTAATAACACCTTTAAAACTTAAAAGCAATTAAAATTATCTTTCATAAATTATATTTTTAAGATCAATACATCATTGGGATTTGGTTATCTTAAAATTAAAGAAAAATCAGCTACACAAATTTATAAAGATATTAATACAATTTAATTGATACATTATTTTTCCAAAGAAGTTTTAGAATTTAATACAAAAGATACAAGATTTGAGCTTTTGACATCTCATTTTGATTAAAAGTATTAAATAAACAAATCTTTTTTGATGTCAATTTTGAATACCAAAAAAAATTATTTTTAATTTTTTTCTAAAGCAAAATAAACTAAAAAACATGATTGATATATTGAAAAATAAAATAATATTAATTTAATAAAAATAATAAATTCAAATATTAATATAGTTACTATTGAGCATATTAAAATAAAGAAATTAATGCTTTATTATTACTTGTGTAACAAATAGATGATACTTAAATAGTTATTTGATCTATTAATAGTTATATATAATATTCTTATTATAGATTGTCTTTAATTTATAAAAAAACTAAAGTTAAAATTAATTATTTTAAAATTTTTAAAAAATATTTATATTTATATTTATATCTTTTAAATTAATTTTTATAATTATAATTTTTTATTATAATTTTAAATATAAAAATTAGCATGTTAATTTTAAATGTAAAAATTAGCATGTTAATTTTAAATGTAAAAATTAGCATGTTAATTTTAAATGTAAAAATTAGCATGTTAATTTTAAATGTAAAAATTAGCATGTTGATTTTAAATGTAAAAATTAGCATGTTAATTTTAAATGTAAAAATTAGCATGAATTAAGTCACTAAGTGGCTTCGTCAACTTTATTGAGACATGAATCCATGCAAACTTCTCAAAAGATAATATAATTATGTACCACGATATTTAAAAAAGAAATTAAAAGATATATTTTTTAAAATAAAAAGTACTAAAATAAATATATTAAAATATACAAATATATATATATATATATATATATATATATATATTAATAAAAGTAAAATTTTAAGCTTCACTTATTAAAAATTCAATAAATGAATTTTTATATTTCCATTGTTAGAAGATATTATTTCAAGCTTACTACCTAGTATTCAATCAATACTGACAAATATACAAGTTGTGATTAGAAATTGCTATTTTACCTCTAACACATGTCATGAGTCACTTTTTCATGCCTCTCCACATCAAATACAATGAAGTTGAAGAAGAATAACTTAACATTGCAAAACACAAATTCTCATGTACATTTGGTCTACACTTCAATTCAAAGCTCTCTACATGTTCTATGTGGGTTTTGTTCAATAATCATGGTATACCTAAACAAGTTTTTTACCAATGTTAGAATAGACCTTGATAACTCTATTTTTGTGAAGTTGCAAGTTAGTAGTTCCACTAGGGATACATTAAATGAGTTTCATGTGATTCAAAGTCATATTGTATAAATTAGAAAGAAGAAATTGTGTAATCGTTGAGTTTGTAGTGGTAGTAGACCACAAATACTCACAAATGTTCAAAAGAGAATAGGTGTCAAAGCTACTACATTAGGAGATATTGATTTTGCAACACATATTACTTAAGATGTGCATAGGAAATGCCAAGTTATTGTAAGTGTTGATACAATGAGAAGGATTTTATATAATGCAAGGCTAACATCAAAAATAAAGCAAAAGAAGCCAAAATTGAATCAAAAACACATCAAGGAACAACTTGAATTTTCTAGATACTATGAATATTGGACCATTTGTGATTAGAAGCATATGCTCTTATTTTTTGTGATGGGACAAAGATAAACCAATTTTGTTTAGATGGTTATAATTGATGTTGGATTTGTAATGGAAAATTTTACAATTTAAGACAATTTCAACAAATAATAAAGTTAGGTGGTGGTTTAGTAATAGTATGGAGTTTCATGAGATTTCAAGGCCCTAACATTATTTGTAGAGTTTGAAGGAAGAATAATTTAGTATTAATATAAAAAAATCTTACAAAGAGTTTTATTATATATTGTAATGGCTTATGATCTTAATTATTTCTATTTGATTTTTTAGCATGATAACAATCTCAAATATACAACAAAAAGTATTTTTTATTGGTTAAGGTCACAAAAGTTTATTGTTCAATGGTATGCACAATTTTATTATCTAAATCTAATTGAACATCTTTAGTTAATGCTAAAATTCCATCTTAATTAATATCAAAGTTCTTCAACATGAAATTTAGAATTCTAAAAGCATATTAAAGAATATTAAGATTCTATTATACCAAAGGAGTATAGAAGGTTGTATGAGAGCATAATAAAGCAAATCCAAGTTGTTTTTGTTGAAAACAATAAATGTAGCTAATGATGTTGTAATATGTGAAGTATTACTTGAAAGTGCATCATGCATCTAGCTATAGAAGATAGAATAGAAATTGTAATAACAAAATCTTAATTCTAATAGAATAATAAATTAATTAAATTATATACTTGTAAATCAAATTATATTAAATTATAATTAAATCTTAATAATGCTAAATAAGCTTTAACAAAATTTAAAAGAAAACCTTAAAGAAATTACAAAAGAAAAAATAAGAAATCTTAAAGGAGTTGAAAGATAATCCATAATAATCCTTAAAAGAATCCTTAAGAAGTCCTAAAAAAATATTTTAAAATAATCACAATAAAGTTCTAATTTAATCCTAATTGAAATCCTAATAGACTTCAATCAAATCCTAGACAAATCCTAAATCTTAAACCAAATCTTAGACAAATCCTAACCAAATTCTAAATCCTAAACCTTAAACCAAATCCTAATCAAATTTTAAATTCTAAACCAAATCTTAACCAAATCCTAAATCCTAAACCCTAAATCAAATCCTAATCAAATCCTAAATTCTAAACCAAATCTTTATCAAATCCTAAATCCTAAACCAAACCTTAACCAATCCTAAATCTTAATCCAAATCCGAGACAAACCTTAATTAAACTCTAAATTCTAAATCAAATCCTAACCAAATCCTAAGATAGTTTAGAAACTTGATATATTTTGATTAAATTATTGATCTTATTTAAAATTTTACCAACCTCTCGATCTCTTAGTAACAAATAAGTATAACAAATTTGAGAACAATTACACTTACCAAATAGAAGAAAAATCATAAAATCTGCTTGGATGTTAGTTAGCCTCTT